CAGAGGTTTGGGATAAAGGAAGGAGAAACGAGGAGACAGGACACAGGGTTTGTGTGTGTGTGTGTGTGTGTGTGTGTGTGTGTGTGTGTGTGTGTGTGTTGGTGGGAGGGAGTTAGGGCAAAGGGATTATTCTATATGATACTGTAATAGAACATACATATCACTGTATATTTGTTAAAATCCATAGAATGCACAACTCAAAGAGTGAACCCTAATGTAAACTATGGGATTCAGTAGACCCATAGATGATGTATCAACATCAACTCATTAATTCTGACAAATGTACCACACTATTGCAAGCTTTAATAGTACGGGAAACTGAGGGAGCAGGAATGGGGAGGAAGGGTTATAGGGGAACTCTATTTTTTGTGCAATCTTTCCTAAATGTAAAACTGCTCCAAAAAATAAAGCTGTAAAAAAGTAAAATAGGCTAAACAATGATCCATGCTTTGGAATAAATAAGTGAGGCTGTGTATATCTGAGGTAAGAGGAACATGATAGACAGATGGAGCCTTGGAAGCAGAGGCATGAGGACTCTGACAGGATTTGAGACACAGCAAGATGCCAGGTTGCTGGGATGGGTTCGCTATGTGGATTTAAAAAATCCAAACCCAGAAGAACGAAATGGCTTGCTTGAGGTCACACAAGTACCCACTTTCAGATTGATCAGATAGAAACTCAATTGTTCTCTTGACAATGAACAGTTCTATGTTCTGCAAAGGAGGCCCTCCATTCAGTTTTGAGGCTGCAGTGTGCAGTTATCACAGGACAGCCAAGAAACCAGGCAGCAGGATCTTCATAGGTGTTGTGATTACCTGCAAATCCTCCTTACACTTTAGCATGAGTATCTGGCTTCTCCTCTCAACCTGCAGATCATGTGTGGTTTCACTTTATTTCTGAACCAAACTCAGGATTGCAATCCCAATCTCCTGTTATTAAACCAAAGGAGATAAATCATTTTAAACTAGAAACCCCTTGGTAACCAAAAAAAAGTGGTAAAAATTTTAGCTCTTGGTTGAAAATCAGACAGCAGGGGTAATAACTGATTTCATTTACAACATGACTGAAGCCACAAGCAGATCTGAAACAAGATAGAGTTGGGAGAACCAATTTAGTCTTTTTAAAAGTTTCACCTATATGTCTTCCCTGTATTTCAGATGTGAGTCTCAGAGGCCCTTCCCTAACTACAGCAAGGGGAAGCGCACCTTAGAAGAATTTGGATTGGCAAAGGTCCTGATGTGTGCCAAACTTTAAAAATACTCCTCATGTCCAAACAAAACACCAAAATGGGTCTTCCTACATGAAAATAGCATCTATCCCATTTCCATTTACATCCTAACTCTACTATCCTACCAAAGTGCTTAGAAGAGTTATCTAGCCTCTTTTTCACTCTGGAAAATAATATTAATACCTTTCCAAATAGGAGAAATAGTAATAATATTAGTATTATTAAATTATTAAATTAAGTTATTAAATATTAAATTATTAAATATTTAAAATATTAATAATATTAATAGCTTTCCAAATAGTTTCCAAATAGGGGTTGAGAAAGATTAACACAAGATGGTGCATGTAAAATGCCTAACACAGTAGCTGGCATAGAGTAAATGCTCATTAAAGGTTAGCCTAAAAATGAACCTACTGACAATGTTTCTCTTTACTGTCATCAACCAAGTAACAACGGAAGAGGAAGAAATGCTTCTATGAAGCCATACAAAGAGCTTAATATTGTAGTTCTTCTTTATCTGCAGTTTCTCTTTCCACAGTTTCAGTTATCTGAGGTCAATGTGGTCTGAAAATATTAAATAAAAAATTCTAGAAATAATTATTAAGTGTTAAACACTGTATCCCAGTGCTTAAGTCATTCACCTCACTTCAACTCATTACTTGGCATTTTGTCGTCTCATATCATCATAAGAAGAATGAGTACAACACAGTAAGATATTTTGAGAGAGAGAAAAAGAGATCATATTCATAACTTGTATTGCAGTATATTGTTGTAATTGTGCTACTTTGTTACTAGTGCTCTCATTAATCTTTTTCTGTGTCTAATTTGTAAATTAAATGTATCACAGATAGGTATGTATACATAGGAAAAAACGGTATATGTAGGGCTTGATGTTATCCTTTGCAGATAAGGGGGGGAGGCTGCCATGTAGCTTTTTGATTCTCAAATTGCTCCTTGTAATTTTAGTGCCACATAAAAATGTTAATAGTTATCCCATGATCAAATATACTTCAGTAAAAATTAGCAAACAAAAAAAACAAAAACAAAAACAAAAACTGGTCTTCTTTACTTTTTGCAGATTTGAAGAAGTTAGTATTGAAGAAATAAAATGGAATGACAAGGCTTTGCCTGAATTTCAGAAAGACAAGTCCGCCAGCGTTAAGAAAGATGGCTGGAAGGTGGGAAGAAGACACAGGAAGAGAGAATGATGCAGGCCATGGGGATGGCCACAGGGTTGTGAGAACACCAAAAATGCTGAAGAGACAGGAGGTTGTTCAGGTGAAATACTGGCGGTGTAAGAAAGGGAGAAGTCAAAGAGGTTCCATTGTCTTTGGAATGCAGAGGTAAAATTGAAGATATAGGACAAGTAAGCAAAGAAGACAATGAAGAGAAAAAGAAGGAAGCAGAGGAAGAGGAAGAGCTGCCTTCAGTTCCTATTCTGTACCAGAGGCTATTAGATCCCTATTTTACCACTTGGCTGTTCTCTTGAGCTAGTGAAGAGTGGATCCAGTTTTCAAATCATGCCGTTTACTACAAGTCTCTGCCCCCATGTTTGCTCATGATATGGTAGCTGCATCCCAAAACTACTGGGTTAACTATGAAAAAGGCTAATCCCTTTTACTGAACCACATTAACTTCAGAGAGTCTCAGCATTGGCCTGAAATTTTGCTCTGATTACTGTCAAATGCCTTTTGAGTGTGATTCCCTGCTTGGAACAGCAGAGACTAGCTCTGTTTTTTTTTTTTTTTTTTTGAACACAAGTTACACCCCTGAACTGACATAACAGAAAAGTTACTGCACTCATGTCTTGCTACTCTTGAACCACCATTTCTGAGAATGTGTCATATAGTTGTATAGTACTCAAAAGTATCCAATAAAATAAAGAGCTAGTTCAGACCACTGATTTTTAGTGATTGAGTTGGTAGAATAACAAATTTTAAAATGTGCTAGAGGTAATGCATGCTTTGTTGAACAAAGGGCCTGTGGGAGTTTCTGGTCCAGATTGCCTGTTCACCTTGAACCTGTGGAATGATCTACAATGTTATATGAGCAACAGGTCTGACCCACTGTGTATGGTGTTTGTGAAGATCAGGTAATCAAAAATTGTATCAGGCTGGGTATGTGGCCCAGCACTTTGGAAGGCAGAGGCAGGAGGACCACTTGAGGCCAGAAATTAGAGGCCAGCTTGGCCAATCTAGCAAGACCCTGTTCCTGTTTTTTAAAATAAAATAATTAAAAATTGTCCAGACACGGTGGGTCATGCCTGTAGTCCCAGCACTTTGGGAGGCTGAGGCAGGTGGATTCACTTGAGGTCAGGAGTTCAAGACCAGCCTGGCCAACATGGCAAAACCCCATGTCTACTAAAAAAAAAAAGTAGGCCGGGTGCAGTGGCTCGCCACTGTAATCCCAGCATTTTGGGAGGGCGAGGCGGGCAGATCACCTGAGGTCGGGAGTTTGAGACCAGCTTGACCAACATGAAGAAACCCTGTACAAAATTAGCCAGGCATGGTGGAACATTCCTGTAATCCCAGCTACTTGGGAGGCTGAGGTAGGAGAATTACTCGAACCCAGGAGGCAAAGGTTGGGGTGAGCCGAGATCGTACCATTGCACTCCAGTCTGGGCAACAAGAGCGAAACTCTGTCTCAAAAAAAAAAAAAAAAATTAGCCAGATGTAGTGGTGCACGCTTGTAGCCCCAGCTACTGGAAAGGCTGAGCCAAAAGAATTGCTGGAACCCAGGAGGTGAAAGTTGCAGTGAGTTGAGATCACACCACTACACTCCAGCTTGGATGACAGAGTGAGACTCCATCTCAAAAAATAAATAAAAATTATATAAATGAAGTACATCTGCATAATAAATATAAACACACCTCAAACAACCCTACAACAATTTAACTCTTGATTTTCCAACGTATCCCCTAATCCTGTGGTGTAGGAGTGCACGCTAGTACTTAAGAGACAGGCCAGGATTCACATTCAGGCCTTGCACCCACTCTGAGAAGATTGTCTTGAGTGAATTTGCTTCATAAAGCTGAGTACCATTTTCTTTGTGGTGAAATGGGAATAATAACGTCCAGTTCACGGGTGCTATGGAAATAAATGTAAATCACCGGACTAGCATTTCATAAACACAAGTTACGACTCACCAGAACAGAAAGAATGCAAGAACATTTAGCTTGCAATGGTCAATGAGGAAGGGACTACTCAATACTCCAGAGCCAACTGATTTGCCCGACTTCATCAGGAGTAAAACTGGTAGAACCTGACCCACGCCTCTTGCCTAGGGGGTCGGGCCACACCTGCTGCAACTTCCTGCAGCACCATTAGGGGTAAAACAAACCGTACACGTCCAAATACACTTGGCTGTGTCATAACACCAGGGTACTATGACACAATGTAAATGTAAATGACACAGTGTGCTTTAGCGGAGAAGACCGGAGGCATTAGGGAGCCTCAGAGTAATTAGCAGCTAATGCAATACAGCCAGGCACAGAGTAACTAATTCCTATGGTCGTCGGCATTTAATGCTCATTCGGAGGGCAGCCCCTTTACGTAAATATAAAAGGATAATTACTACTGGGCAAAAAATGAAGCAGGTATTGTTTACTGCGGGGATGAGGAGGAACAGGGCCTTGAATGTACAAAGCAGTCGGGCTACCTGCAGCCGCTTCAAAAAGGGTCAGAGTGTGAAACGCCGGGACTAGGCCCCTCCAAAATCCTTCCATACCCAGCACGCAACCGTAGCAAAGGGACACACGCAGCGGCGATGTTACCTGAGCTTATGTGTAGACGCTTTCCTTCGTCGCCTCTGGAAGCATGCACACAAGGGGAGTGGCTTCGGCCGCAGCACGTGGAAAGCGCTTTCCCTCACGACAGGCCTGCCGCCGTTCCGCCACCACTGGGCGCGGACGCCGCGCTGGGCAGAGCCCGTGTGCCGGGGGCGGCGCCGAGGCCCCAGCACCTGCGCAGTTGGATGCGGAAGCGGAGGGCGCGGCGCGGCTAATTGAAAAGGGGAAGCATTTGGCAAACACCGTTACGAGAAACGCGAGAAGTGTAACGTGGCGAGAACCGGGCAGCACCTGGTGTCAGCGGCTAATTGTGTTGCAAGTTGCCATGACAGACCAGCGCGTTGAGGGCAGCCCGAGCCGCCGCGCTTGCCTCGCAGGCGCCGCGTCCTCGGACACCGGGCTTGGATTGCAGGAGGGAGCGGCGCACGCATGCACGGATGACGAGACTGTATCTTACCCCTGCAGGGCTGGGGCAGGGGTCACTTTTGCCACTTACACAGCAATGACTGATTAAAACAAGAAAAATGAATTCAAAAGCTATATTGGATTTTAACGTGTTTGAAAAATATTTAAAAAGGAAGAAAGGGAGGGAGGAAAAGAGGGAAAGGGAAAAGGACAGTAAAAGAAGAAAAAGGGAAAAAGCTTTGTATACAGCAATTTCTAAAAATTACATTCAGTTCTATTTTCTATAAGACATGGTAATTTTCATAAATGCCCCCTTCCCACAATTATTACGATTTTATAAAAATAATATCATTTCTTAAAATAATACTTTTACAAAATAATAATAGTGGGGAGGAGGCCTTTATGAAAATTTTTGTGGGCTATAAAGATAGAATTCTACCATAGAAATTAATTCAAATCTCTGGGATGCCCTAATATTCTAATATAATAGAGTTTGGAATAAATATTCCATTTATTTAATATTTATTTAATATTTATTCCAAACTCTATTATATATGCCATATAACAGGCATATGCCCCTCTTTATTCAAGGTTCCTTACTGGAAAACTAGCATTCAGCCTAAAATGTATATTTACAGAGGCAGTTATCAGATTCACAAACACACAAAACTGAATAAGATGGAATATTTCATCTAGTCTTTAATGAGTAACATCTCATGGTCTGTGACAGAGGTACTGTGATAAACTAACAAAAGTCAAAAACAATTGTAAAAATAGATTAGATTTTACATGAAGAATAAATAACGCAATATATTTTGAATGGTCCTAATTTTTTAACTACTAGTATCCTGAAAATGTTCTTGAAAAATCTATGAATACTGAGGAGTTTAGATTTGAATGTAAGTCTAAGGATATACAGGTAAGCCTAAAGCAGTTTCATTGAAAGTGATAGACATTGTGGTTAAAAGATGAGGGGTTAGAAGCGAGGCAGTTCAAGACTTTGTCTCATTTGCAATACTTGTAAGCTGTGTGACTTTAAGCTGCTAACCTAACCTCTCTGAGATTGTCTTCATCTGTAGATTATGAACAGCCGTTTTGTAAGGTTAGAAGCATAGAGCAAAGATGTATAAAGCTCTCGGCACAGTGCCTTGCATACAGTCAATATTCAACTGTTTCCTTTTTTAATTCATAGGAGTAGCAGTAGTATTTAGGAGAAAAGTAAAAATCTTTGGCTTTTAAAATAGATATTCAAAAATACCTCAAACAAAGGACTAAGTGCATTAATATATTCTTCCAAGTTCAAGCAACAAATATAGACAACAGTATCTCTCTCATTTGCTTCAAGATAATGAATTTACCATAAGCAGGCATGGAATTTACCATAAGCAGGCATGAGACTTACCCCAAAGTGGATCTATATGAGTGCATATCCCCAGGGATATCATGTATGTGTAACTCGATGCGTCTGTTACTGTTGTAATTGGGAAAAAGGAAAGCCATCGTTGTGTAGAAAAGAGCTGAGACTCTCTGCAATGTCAATGAGGTAGGATCAGAATGACATTTCCAGCATAATGTTAGCCAATTACATGTTGGAAATATGTATGCACTGCTCTGAACCAACTGTCATGTGCCTAGGTTCCTAATAGGGAACAGGAGGCAGTCACCAAAAAGAATAGTGAAAATGAGGGGGAAAAAAAAAATGTAAATAAAAAGGTAAGATTGGCTGAAAACAGCAGCATTCAGAAAGAAAGTTCCAAGAAAACTGGCTGCTGAACAGTTTTACAGAGAATTGCCATGGTTGCTCATGCTCTCCATCCGGGTCCTTATTTCTGAGAAAATTTTACGGATGCTCTGCTGACAGCTTAATGAAGGAACACTACAAATCACTGCAGAGGCAACAAGGAGTGCGAAACTAGCCTCTTCCTGTGCTGCCACCAAAAAAAAAAAAAAAAAAAAAAAAAAAAAAAGTCTATGTTCTCCCAATGAGGTTTTTCAAAAATGAATTATGCCATTAAGTGCCAAGAAGAAAATTAGCTATGAGCTTTTAAATTTAAAATGATCCCCTTTTTAATTGTAAAACAGTGGCACTTAACTGCTATTGATCCTGCTGAGACACATTAGGGAACAGGGTCACCATAACTGTTAATATTCACTGCTTAGTGAAAGAGCATCAAAGGACATTTTAATGTCATAGACTTTCTCAGGGAGTTTTTAAAGAAGGTTTGAATCAGCCAGCCTATGAATGAAAAGGACATGAGGTAGACAAATGTAGAAACAAATGTGATAGCAATTTTCTGCTAATCAAATCATAACTCAAGATTGATTTTTTTGGCAAAAGTTTATGTCATATAGATTTCCAAGGCTGGTTGACATTTAAAAGTCAGAGTATATGTTTTCTATAGACTGGGACTTTTTAGATGATCATCCAATAGGGAATTTTTGTTTATTTTTTAACGTAAGTGTAAGAGAGAACTTTTCTTTTGGGGCAGACCGTTTCACTTTTTGTTTTTTTATACTTCAGAAATAAGGAATGTGAAATGTCAATGGCATTTTATTCAGAATGCAAAGTCTTTTCTACTTTTTAAAAAAACTTCTGGACAATAAATCACAAGTGAGTATTCAGGTTTTTAAAAGTAGAAATTACATTTTTAGAGCATATACACTGGAGGTTTTCTATTTTTTGCTATGATTTGAAAATACTGAATGTGTGGCATTGTCGACTTCTTCAATGCTAAACTTTACCATATATGACCAAGTTAGGGAGCTGAACAAAGGTGCTTGTTATTAAAATGCAAATCCTCCTGTTAGAAACAAAAGAAATGTTTAAAAGATAAATGTACATTTTATGGGACTTAAAAGAATCATGTGTTAATCTATATTTCTCACTAGATCAATTATTTGCCATTTTCCAATAACTATTGCTCACTTTGCCAAGTAATTGTTATTGAAACAGTATTATTCTGTTGATCCTTAATTCAAAAATTTATCATAAATACCTGCAAAAATATTTTTTAGGGTGTAACTTTTTGGCAAATACTATATTATAGAAATTAAGAAATAGAAAATTGCCAGTTAGACATGAATACTTTCTTTGGTTGGTTTAAACTTTGGTTTCTAAGAAAATATTTTATGTTTGTGCCATCATGAAAGTGTTCTCTGGAGCACCTGGGAACAGTTTGAAAACTACTGACCAGAAGCATGTATTCATTCTGATATTCATTCCAGGACATTGCACTCGAAACTAATGAACATCCCAAGTTTTAAGGGAGTCACAACCTTAGAAAAAGACAGACAGGAAACAGGAAATTCTGATGTGAAAAAAATGTCCTAATAGACTTAAGACCACAGCACTATGGGTGTACAGAGGACCAGCACCTCTCTGGGATTTAAGAGGTGAGAAAAGGGTGCCCAAGAGCATGATTCGGGGGCTGGATCTCTGAGGATGAATTGGTATTGGCCAGGAAAAGTTGACAATCAGCATATTTTCAACAGGAGAAAAAAAATAGCAATGCAAAGATGTAAAGCAAAGAGTGAGCATGTGAAAGGCAAGAGGCCAGCAAAGAAAATAGAAGCCAAACCTCATCATACTGAGGAGGATGTATTAGGCCATTCTTGTTTGCTATAAAATACTCATGACTAGGTAATTTATAAAGAAAAGAGGTTTAATTGGCTTATGTTTCTGCAAGCTGTATAAGCAGCATGGCACCAGTTTCTGTCTGGCTTCTAGAGATGCCTCAGGAAGCTTTTGCTCATGGCAGAAAATGAAGTAGGAGCAGGCATGTTGTCACATAGCGGGAGCAAGAGCAAGAGGAAGGGGAGGTGCCACACACTTTAAACGACCAGATCATCTGTGAAGTGAACTCACCCACTGTGGCAAGGACAGTACCAACCCACGAAGGATCTGCCCTCTTGACCCAACACCTCCCATCAGGCCCCACCTCCAACATTGGGGATAACATTTCAACAAGAGATTTGGACAGGGACAAATATCCATATGACATCAGAGTATAAATGGTATTATTTAAGACACTAGGGGAATCATTAAAGAATATTAAGCAGGTGAAGGATGTGATCAGATTTGTCATTAGCTTTACTAAACTTACTCTTTAACCAATTTGGAGAACAAACTGGAAGGGAGAAGCTGGGTGCGGTGGCTCATGCCTGTAATCCCACCACTCTGGCAGTCCAAGGTGGGTGGATCACCTGAGGTCAGGAGTTCGAGACCAGCCTGGCCAACATGGTGAAACACCATCTCTACTAAAAATACCAAAAAAAAAAAAAAATAGCTGGGTGTGGTATCAGGCACCTATAATCCCAGCTACTCAGGAGACTGAGACAAAAGAATCTCTTGTGCCCAGGAGGCAGAGGCTGCAGTGAGCCAAGATTGCACCATTGCACTCCTGCCTGGGTGACAGAGTGAGACTCAGCCTCAAAAAAAAAAAAAAAAAATTGGAAGGAAAAAGCAAGACCAGAGACAGAGACCATAGTTAAAAGGCTGCTGTGAAAACCAGGTGAGAAATTTAAAAATCCATAAATAAGGAAAGAGCTCATTGGGTAGGAAAGAAGCATTGTCTGAGAAATTAATTAGAAATGTCAAAAAAGGATGAGGTAGGGCCAAGAGTGTCTCCTGAATTTCTGGCTTGGTTGGCCATGTGTAGGATCTGCCATTCTGCTATTTACTGTAGGTAGGGGTATTGAATTATTTCGTTATGAAATATCAGAGAAATTGATTATTTAGGATACATAATTAGTTTCATTTGGAACACCAAAATGTAGGTAGCTGAATAT